AGAAGAAAACATAGTGATAAATCTTCATGACCTTAGATTTGGCAAGGGATTCTTAAACATGACAACAAAACCAACAGCAACAACAAAACAGATACATTGGCCATTGTCAAAATTAAAAACTTTAGTATTTTAAAAAAAAACCAACTTTAGTACTTCGGGGATACAATCATGAAAATGAAAACAACCCACAGAATGGGAAAAAATATCTACAAATCATGTCTGATGGACTTGTATTTAAAATATATAAAGGACTCTTACAATTCATAATAAAAAGACAACCCAATTTAAAAACGGTGATCCAAATAGACATTTCTTCAAGGAAGATATACAAATGGCTAATAAGCACATGAAAGAACGCTCAATGTCATGAGCCATTAGGGAAAGGCAAATAAAAACCACAAAGAGATACCACTTCATACCCAACAGGATGACTAGAATCAGAAGAAAGTCAGATAATAACAAGGTGTTGGCAAGATCATGGAGAAATCAGAAAACTCATCCACTGCTAGTAGGATTAGAAAGTGGTGCACCTGCTTTGGAAATCTATTTGGCATTTCACTAAAATGTTGGTTATCATATGACCTAGCAATTCCTCTTCTAGATAAACATCCAAGAGAAATGAAGACACATGCCCACATAAAACCACACAAATAATATAGCAGCATTATCTATAATAGTAAAAAAGTGAACACAACCAAATGTCTATTGATTGTCAAAAGGGTAAATAAATAACATACCCATGTAATGGAGTATTATTTACCCATAAAAAGGAATGACATGATACATGGAAGAACATGGATAAATCTAAGACATTATGCTAAGTGAAAGAAGCCTGTCACAGAAGATCATATGTGATTCCATTCATATGAAAATCCAGAATAGGGAAATCTATATAGAAAGTAGATTAGTGGTTGCTTAGGGCTAGGGAGAAAGGAGGGTAGAGAACAGGGAGATGGGAAAGTAATAGCTAAAGGGTAAAGGGTTTCTTTTTGAGGTGATGAAATGTTCTAATACTGATTGAAAATGGTTGTATATATCTCTAAATATAATATGAACCACTTAACTGTACACTTTAAAACAGTTAATTATTATATATGTGATGAATCACTAAATTCTATTACTAAAACCAATATTACATTATGTTAACTAACTTGAATCTAAATTAAAACTTGGAAGAAAAGAAATGGTTAATTGAATGGTAGGCAAATTATGTCAATAAAGCTCAATTGGTGATAAAATGTTTGTGTTCAAATCAAATAGATTTTCTAACTTCTGACAATCCTCTTCCAGTTTTATACTACCATTCCTCCTATTCCCTTACTGTACATTGTGTACAAGGAAACGATTTTGTAAAAATTCAGTAACAACTGGCCAGGTATAATCAACTTGTAAATGGACTTCAGAATTAATTCTCTCAAAATACAGACAATATGACTGAAATATTTTCTAGATGCATGTTAATAGGCACTATCCCTCTACCTCGGTTTACTGAATCTCTTTTGAGTATACAAATAGTTGAATTCTATACCACAATGAATCTCAAGCAGCTCATTGTCCCTCAAGGGCCTCAGCTTCTCTAGGCCATCCTCCCTAGAAGGTAATTCTGGCCTCATGTCAGGGACTTGATGTCCCAAATATTACTGTAATTTTTGACAGGTTATGTGATGAGTACCATAAAAGGTGCCTTCCATATCCCTATGTCTTGGGTAGAACAAATAAAATGAAAAATTTCCATACTATATTGGATTGTTACTTGGTCATACCTAATAATGCCATGCCCACAGAGAGAAAAACTCACATTGTGCAGACACAGCAAAAAGAAGTAAAAAGTCAGAATTTGATTCTAGAACAGGTCTGCTATTAGAGATATGTATCTTTAGACAGGGAACTTCATGTCTCTGGATTTTCATTACTATATAAATTACGTGGACCAGAAGACCTAAGACTTTCAAGCCCCAAATCCTATAATTTCAGACCATGACATATTAAAATGCATAAAGACAGTTAAAACTCTAGTTTTAGACAGTTAAAACTCTATTGGCAGTTAAAAGAGACTGCCACTAATAATTACAGAAAAATTACAAAAACAAAACAAAACAAAACCAGTTACCTTCAAAAACACTAGTGAACAACTGTTTTGGAGTATTAGTACAAGTCTAAATTCAGTAGACTCAGAGAAAGAATCTTTCATAAGAATGTATGTGAACTGGGGTGCCTGGGTGGCTCAGTCATTCATTTCAGTTCAGGTCATGAACTCAGAGTCCCAAGATCAAGCCCCACATTAGGCTCTGTGCTCAGAAGACGGTCTGCTTGAGGATTATCTGTCTCCCTTTCCCTTTGCCCCTCCCCACTGCTTGCTCGCTCTCTAAAACAAATAAACCTTTAAAAAATAGAGAATATATGTGAACTAATGACCAGCTAATACACTCTAATTCCCTTCTAATATCCATGTCTACTTCAACACTGGTATCATGTAGTTAACTCACAAACCAAATACAAATCAAATGGAATTACAATGATATGCCAACCACATCTCAGAAGAAAATTTAAACATTTAATACCCACATTTACATGCATTAATGATTATAACTCAACTTGTGCTTTAAATATAGCATATGCTATAAACAATTTAGGTTTTCAAAATGAGATGGCTTCTATTGTATGTTTAGCTATTTTGTTTTTAATATTTTGTATATGCTTTGGCTAATGTTAAATTATTTCTGAACTACCAACAGCTAGAAACCAATGCTGCCTTTTCATTGGTTTAAAAGTTAAGGGCATGTTAAAAATCAGATCATCTAATTCCTGTACTTATCTTCTTAAGTAGAAAGGACAAAACTGTTATCTAAGAGTCAAAACAAAAAAACAAAAAAACAAAAAAAAAAACCACCTGTAAAAATGCCAACTGTAGTCTAACCTAAAATATGTTCTTATTTAGTACAGCATGAAATCAAAAGTATGAATGGGATAGTTTAAGCAATCAATGATTTATAACTAATGCCTTCTGATGGTCAGTTACATGGCACAGAATACTACTTTAACAGCAATAAGTCTTTTTAGATATAAAGCCTACTTTTCATTTGGTTCAAATCATATCTTTGTTAAGAAGTAGAAAAGTGGGTTTCAAATATGTGTACTTTCCAGAATGGCCAAATTATAGATGTATTTTTGCAGATCATATAAAAAAATGTATACCTCAATAATAGAAAAAAATGTAAAGGTATCTGGAGTGTTCACTTAGTTTGAACTAAATTTAATACTTTATTCAATAGGCTCATGCTTGAGTAATAAAATTTCTAGGTTTCTGATATTCTTCTACTAAATAAATATACCTATATATTATACACACACATATATATGTATAGAGGACTGTATTAGTGTACATATTGTCAAAAAGAACACATTAAAGACATTATATAAAAAATTTTACATTTTTAATACGAAAATAACTTTTATGACAAATAGACAAGGTAAATTTAATTTTTAAAAAGAAAAACTACTGGTAGAGAATTCTAGTGATAAATGCACTGAAAGAATCTTTTGGAATAAACCACCTTTATAGGAAATTATTCACGTCAGACTCTATTAAAGTGCATAAAAAGGAAATTTATTTTAGAACTCATACCAAAGACGCATTATGAATACATGTGTAACTCTGGTACAACAAGTCAGGAAGATATTACCCAGCCTCAGTGATAACATAACCTTGATCTTAACATAGTCTGCCTTTTAATATGTGCCCCATAAATAGTTAATTCTAAAAGTTGAACATTACAAGCAATTTTCCCTATTGATAGCTTTATGAATAATTCCGGTAACAGAGGGAAAAAGTCTTAGTTCTTATTTTGCTAATTCTCTTAAGTCAGGTCAGTCTCACAAGAAACATCTGATTACTATCTTCAGTGAAAATTAGGAAGGATATTTTCAGATTTTTTTAAACAAGTTAAATCATAAATATTTATCATATATAAAAATAAGCAAAAGGTAAATTTTAGGGTATCTCTAGGTTTACTTTTTTAAAAAAGCATTAAATCATTTTATTTGCAATGAAGAGATGAAAAGGAGTAACCTGTACAGCCAACTGGTATCCTGGTTTTTTTTTGGTTATTTTTTTTAACTAGGTTCCACGCCCAGCATGGACCCCAGTGTGGGCTGAACTCACAACCCTGAGATCAAGACCTGAGTTGAGATCAAGAGTGGGACACTTAACCAACTGAGTCACCTAGGCACCCACACAGTTGCTTTCTTAAGACCAATGGATGAACCAACTGAATCAAGATCTGTGCAGAGATGCTGAATGGATAGTTAAATCAACTGTCATGCAGCTCCTTAAAAAAAATGCTACAGTTTTTTTAATGGTCACTATTGCTCACTTTTAAAACCAACTTTTAAAACTTGCTCAATTTTAAAGCAAATATCAGCATGGAGTCCCTCACATATGCTCATTTTTCACTGGCCTCACATAATGATTCTCCAATTTAGAGTAGTCACATATACACTGATGGTTTTAGCACAATGGAAAACAAAAAGGAAGAAAGAAAAACAAATGTGGTTTCAAGACAGAAAAACAAATGTGGTTTTATAAGATGATATCCATGAAAAGGATAGTAATGACTACAAAAAATCATCAACAGACTGCCAATAATAATCACGGAAACCAGTTTATCAGTGTCACAACAAAAGGGTATGATGAATTTTTTCTAAAATACTCATTTTTGAGGCACCTGGGTGGCTCAGTCAGTTAAGCGTCTGTCTTCAGCTCAGGTCATGACCCTGGGATCCCAGGGTCTTGGAATAGAGCCCTGCATCAGGCTCCCTGCTCAGCGGGTTGCCTGCTTCCCCCTCTCCCTCTGCCATTCCCCTGCTTATGTGTGCTCTCTCTCTCTTAAATAAATAAAGATTTAAACATTTTAAAAATAAAAAAAATACTCATTTTATAATGGATCAAACTAACATATTTATAAATTATTCATGTACTTTTACATGAGGTTTGTTTTGTTATTAATATTTATGCTTTTCTGCTATTTGTTTTTCCTACTCTTGCATCAAAGTCTTCCCATAAATCCCTGGAAAGTCTCAAATATCCCATGGCCACGGGTAAACCACAGAAGTGATAATTCATCAAAATGTATTTTCACTTATTTAATAAATAAATCTGTTGTGAGGTTAATTTCTAATTATATAAAATAATCCCATTAATCTATGAAAAATAATGATACTGATTTTACTATGGCTCAAACCCTTGGACAAATAAATATCTCTGATTACCTGTTAATGTAAAGAAAATGGAGTAAATTTTATATTCATATTTAAACTACTGAATACCTGTAAACAAAGTAGCATTTATTAAAATATACACTTAATTTATACTAAATTCCACTCAGATTTACACAAGTTTTTTATCCTTATTTTTTAAATACATACATGATTTTTTTCAAACATTATCAGTCAGGTATATACAAAAGTGAAACATGACATCCAAGCCAGAATGTGATTCTTAAAATAACAACCTCTAAACAGCTAGTAATGTACAATATATAAAATTCCAATAAAACACAGATATATTCTTATAGAAATGTTAGTCCTATAATACCGAGCGATATTTACAAGCAAACATGATCCAAACAGCACATGCAGATTCAGGGTAAGTAAACACTCGGACACGAACTGCCAGTCGCACCTGGTCTCCACGGCAACAGATTATCTCTTCACAGAAAGGAGACCTATATATGAAAGAAAGTGAACTTCTAAGTAAGTCAATATTTAAAACATCTTTTAAAAATCCTGTCTCTGCTACCAATAGCCCTTTGATTTGGGTTGACCTATTCAAATTATAGAATATTTCCTCAGTCTACAAATTAAAAATATTATCCTGGACAAGATCAGAAATCCTCAGCTGAGACTGCACCAAAACAAATGGGAAAATTATCCCAACTCCCTAGAGCTACATTTCAGATTTAATGAATCACAATCTGTGGCAAGGAAAATAATAAATCATTACAAAAGTTCACCATGTGATTCTAAAATCATTCCCAAATAACCAGACTAACAGAATGCTAAAATTGCTAGCTTAATAGGGGCACCTGGGTGGCTTAATAGGTTGCACATCTTATTCCTGGTTTCGGCTAAGGTCATGATCTCAGGATCATGAGATCCAGCCCCACATTGGACTCCATGCTCAGCACAGAGTCTGCTTGTCCCCACTATGCCCCCACCTCATGCTCTCTCTCAAATAAATAAATATCTTTAAATTCCCAAGCCAATAATAACATTTATGAACTCATGAATTCTACCTTACCGAAGACATGTGGCAAATGCACGCCTTGCATTTCTATATACAAAATGTATTGGGAACCCTTTAAATGTGTGACCATCAGGGACAGCCCTCCTTATGGCATCTTGAAATTCTTCATTGCCTGCAGATATACTTGTTGTACGCTCAAATTCATAAGAAGCCAAAGCTGGTGATAAGAGATAGGAAAGCTGGTCTTCCCAAACAGTAGTGAGACCAAGATCCTACAGCAATCAAAAGATAAAAAGAAAAGGTAAAATACACTAATATTTTAAAAACCAATTATAAGCATTGACTATTTTAATGTATGCCAAGACATTTGTAAAACATCATAACTTTTTAAACTTTCTATTAATAAATGTAAGGACACATGCAAATAAAGGAACTACAAGTATCTGGTTTTACTTCTTAGAGAAAAAAATAAAAAGCTTTCAATACAATGATGTTACTAAAGGCTCCAAACCTGTACTTCCTTAATATCCACTAGAAAAGATTGTATGGAAGCATCCTACTATGGAAAACACAGCGCCACTGAAATTTGAAATCGTATTTTATTTAACTTTAAAGAGTTTAGTAAGATTCAATCTGCTTAATTTGATTGCTCCAACACAAATTCAACAGTAGTAGAAAAGTCAACAAATGAATTGCATGTATAATTAAACTCAAGTATTTATTTAAAAAAAAAACACTAACTTTCATACTGTAGAGATAAAAAGGTGAAAAAAATATGCTATAGGCCTTCAGGGAGCTTAAAACATGTTTCTATGGAATGTTAAAAGCAATTATGATTTCATCTATAACATCAAATGAACTATAGATATCTAGACACATGATATTTTAAAAACATTAAACAAACATAAAAAACTTGTCAAAATTCGAAATATTTTGATTATCATAATAGATCTCTACCATTTCCTCATTTTGTGTTCAAGGTTTTAACTGGTTCCAAGTAACCCCAAAGGTCTATATCATCTATCTTTTTACTGTGGCACAAAGTAAATCTGACTTGCTGGTTTACAGGCATAATTAACTTAGTGATCAACACTAGTATCTAGCTCAGTTTTCTTCTATATAAGTTCTTATAATGTAATAAAATACTGGTCTTATTTGTAAACAAGATCTAAGTAAATTAAAAGGCAGTGTAAGTGATGGAGGGAAAGGAGCAGTAATGAGGGGCTTTCATTCCCAGCGACATAGTGAACTAGGTCCTTGAACAACCTATTGCTAAGACCAAACTACAAATGCCAGATTAAATATTTTCCAAAATATACTTTTAGATGCTTTGGTGAGTTGGCAAGTGAGTACAGCAGATTTTAGAAGCCAAAACTAATAGTAACTGGGGACCCACAAAACATATTTGATAAATCAGTTTGCCTTTGATGGCCTCAAGGAACACAGAAAACAGGATTCACCGAAGATGGGGAGTCTATCTGGGAATCCAAAAAGGTGAATCAGAAATAAGTCTTTGGGGATTCTAGTCCTTTGACAGTTACATATGTTACAAAGAACTTTTCCCACTCCAACTGTGCTCTTTTCACTCCCTGACTGGCTTCTTTTGATGAAAAAAATTCTTAAAATATACTAATATTTTTATTTTTTTAATATCTTCTTTAATGTACAAAAGAAATCTGAAGGGCTAAGAAATAAGAGGTTTGATTTCATTAGTAATCAGGGAAATGCAAATTAAAGCGAAAATGAGGATATACTTTTACATCCAGCTAAGTAAGTGTGATAGGAAGAAATAAACAAAACCAACCTGGAAAAAAATGAATATGAAAAAATATAACCCAACATTTTCAAAGAGAAAAGTATCAGTGCTTCACAAAAAAAATCCAAATTAGTGGTATTTAGCAAAAGTCTGAACTAGTTCAACATTCTTCATTTCTAGAAGGAAGTAATGAATTCTAAAAATATTAGTGAATTTAGAAATTTTTGAGTCTTAGAACCTAACTCTGATGACTTTCAAAACTACAAGCTTCTTAAGGGCAGGAACTAAATTTGCTTTCTTCAGGGCTAGAACAGTGACGGCACTATCCCACCCTCCCCAAATTGTTAAATATATAAACAAATGAAAAAAATGCACGAAACTACAAATTTCAATGTTAATTACCTTCCTGTGTTCTGACACTAGCAGCCTTAGCTGCATTTCTATTTCATTACTTGTTACTGAAGCATCAATTGTGGACGCACATAGAGGGGGAAAGGGAGGAAGGGATGTTGTAGCTCCCGGAGCACACACAGATTTGATTGCTTCTTCACTCATGGGTTTCCATTTGGATTCATCATTCAAATCAAATACACAGATTTCTACTGAGTCAGAGGGCTGACAATTTCCCAGGAACATCTGATGATTGAAAACACAACCAATTGTTCGATATGGGTGCAATGGTTTGGGCTGTTCAGCAACTGGAGATTCATCAGGATTGGCAGGTTTGTGGATGTACCTAAAAAAAGTAAATCATAACTTTCTATAATAAAAACTTAAAAATTAAAAAGGCAACACCAAATTGAAAAAGATATTTAAGGCTATAACTATTTCCAGTCCAGGGTTAGAGTTCAATACTTGCTTTTTCTTCTTTTATTTCTACAATTTGATTACTCTTTAGTAATTGTATGACACATATTATGATATAAAAATCAACTTTATTCAACATGAAAATATATTCTATGTATAACCATTAAGATAAAAACCGTTTAGGGTGCCTGGGTGGCACAGTCGTTGGGCATCTGCCTTCAGCTCAGGTCATGATCCCAGGGTCCTGGGATCAAGCCCCATATTGGGCTCCGTGCTCAGCGGGATGCCTGCTTCTCCCTCTCTCACTCCCCCTGCTTGTGTTACTGCTCTCGCTGTCTCTCTGTCAAATAAAAAAAAATCTTAAAAAAAAAAAAAAAGATAAAAACTGTTCATCTCAGATAACACAATTAAAATAATTTAGCTATACATTAATAGGTATAACTAATTAAAACGAATAGCAACCAGGGAAAAATTCAGAAAACCGAGAAGATGGCCCAGGGCTGCGCCTTTAGTTAACTCCAACATTTACAGACAAGATGAAGGAGAAATGAGACAAGTCAGATAGGAATAATTAAAATTGAAAGTGCTATCAAGAAGCTAAAGAAAGATGGGCGCCTGGGTGGCTCAGTTGGTTGAGCGACTGCCTTCAGCTCAGGTCATGATCCCGGACTTCCAGGATCGAGTCCCGCATCAGGCTCCCAGCTCCTTGGGGAGTCTGCTTCTCCCTCTGACCTTCTCCTCTCTCATGCTCTCTCTCACTCATTCTCCCTCAAATAAATAAATAAAATCTTAAAACAAACAAACAAACAAACAAAAAAGAAGCTAAAGAAAGAGATGGTCCCAGGAAAGAGGGAGGAGCACTGAACTCTTTCCAAACTGACGGCAGTCAAAAGAACTAAGAAAAGTATACAGTGAATTTACCAATGTGGGGTTAGTGACACCAAATTTTCAAAAGAAATCATGACTTACAACGTGAACTGATTTTTAGGTTTGGGGAAGAACATTAGAAAAAGCATATGCCAATTACACGAAATTAAAAATAAATCATTTATTTTTTACCAATATTATGTTGGAAGAATATTTTAGATGTACAAATTTTCTTCAAATTTAATAGCTATTTTAATTGAAGTAATCCTTTACATAGTTATCAAAAAGGCTCTAATAATGAAAATTATCAGTATGTGCCTTTGAGTACCATCAATATAAACAAATAACCTATAATTTAAAACATTTACATCTTCATTTTTTTTTTAAAGATTTTTTATTTACTTACTTGACGGAGAGAGATCACATGTAGGCAGAGAGGCAGGCAGAGAGAGAGGAGGAAGCAGGTTCCCTGCCAAGCAGAGAGCCCGATGCGGAACTCGATCCCAGGACCCTTAGATCATGACCCAAGCTGAAGGCAGAGGCTTAACCCACTGAGCCACCCAGGCACCCATACATCTTCATTTTAATATCTTTGTAACATAGTTGACAAACCTGTGTCCTGTTAAGCTCTCCCAAAAAGTGATAGTTCCATCAGTTCCACAGGTCATCACCCACGCATGAGGTACTCCTTTTGCCTTAGTCCCAACACAGACAAAGGCTTCTAATCCATATCCAAGAAGAAGGCTGCACAGAAGGTTAGCATGATCTTCACAGTCACCCTAGAAAATGAAGTCAATTAAATATTTATTCCTTCACAGTTTCTTCACTAAATATCCAAATATACAAAATTATAATTAAAAAACAGTATTAATTTTTTCATTTTTTAAAGTTTTTTTTTTTTTTTATTTTTAAGTAATCTCTAAACCCAACATGGGACTCAAACTTACAACCCGGAGACGGAGAGTTACATGCTTCACTGACTGAGCCAGCTAGGCACCCCTAGTTTTTTTCCTTTCTTTCTTTAAAAGATTTTATTTATTTACTTAGAGAGAAAGAGAGAGCAAAGAGGGAGAAGGAGAAGCAGACTCCCTGCCCAGCAGGAAGCCTAACTTGGGGCTTAATCCCGGGACCCTAAGATCATGACCTGAGATAGAGGCAGGTGCTTAACTGACTGAGCCATCCAGGTGCCCCTAATTTTTTCACTTTTAATCATTAGTCTAGTGTTAAGCTGAAACAACAGGGGACAGAGGTAAGAATACGCTAACTTTAGAAGAACCTAATTATTTTATAAACTCAGTGCTCACAAATCTGATAGTCATAACATATATACTTTAAAAGGGGACATTCAGATTCAAAAGTTTATTAAAAAACCTATATATAACATAGAAAGAAAAGTAGCAAGATTTTAAATACGAATAGCTAAAGAGCTAAAGGACATGAACAGACAAGATGACAAATGATATATCAAGAAATGCAAATATCAAGATGACAAATGATGTATCAAGAAATGCAAATACAGGGGCGCCTGGGTGGCTCAGATGGTTAAGCCTCTGCCTTTGGCTCAGGTCATGATCCCAGAGGGGTCCTGGAATGGAGTCCTGCATCCAGCTTCCTACTTTGCAGAGAGCCTGCTTCTCCCTCTCCCTCTGCCTGCTGCTTCCCATGCTTGTGCTTTCTGTCAAATAAATAAATAAAATCTTAAAAAAATAAAAATTAAAAAAAAAAAGAAAAACACAAATACATGGGAAAATACTCAAACTCAAAACAATCAGTTGAAGTATCTGTATGTGATCATTTTTAGGTAATACATACCAGGAAAAATGACTGAAAGAACTATATGTCAACAATGGCTGTAATTATGGGAGGTTACATATCATTTTCCCTTCTATTTTCTAAATTTCCTTTGACAATATTATATTACTTGCACAACTTAAAAATATTATGAAAGCTACAAAAACAGAAAATATCTGATAGTCTTTTTTTTTTTTTAAAGATTTTATTTATTTATTTGACAGACAGAGATCACAAGTAGGCAGAGATGCAGGCAGAGAGAGAGGGGAGAAGCAGGCTCCCTGCAGAGCAGAGAGCCCGATGTGGGGCTCGATCCCAGGACCCTGGGATCATGACCTGAGCCAAAGGCAGAGGCTTTAACCCACTGAGCCACCCAGGCGCCCCAAAATATCTGATAATCTATAAAAAATCAAAATATTTAACTGTAAGGCTACAATTACATGAAGATATATATTTAAGTGAAGGATACAGGTAATATACAAAAGCAAAAGTAACTATTAGGTTCAGTGGTAGCATAAGGGGCAATTTCTTTCCCCCAAATTTTGTATCAGTGGCTCTATACTGCTGTTTTTTTAACTATACTAAAACGACAGCATTTTAAAATGTCAAATTTGACTTTTGAAAAATATAATATCCAACCTTTTAGACCTAGTAATTTCTAGTAATTTCTATACTGAGATTTCAAAAGAAAATTAATAATACTCCCAAAGATATTCAATGAAAAAGTTCACTCACAAAGATATCAACAAATTATAAGCAAGCTACTGTATCCAAAAGAAACAGTTCCTACAATGTCAATAGTTAAGTAGATTTTATATATCAACTAAAGAAAACTTCATATTTACACACCATTAAAAGATGGGGATCATAGGGGTGCCTGGGTGGCTCAGTGGGTTAAGCCTCTGCCTTCGGCTTGGGTCATGATTTCAGGGTCCTGGGATGGAGCCCCATATTGGGCTCTCTGCTCAGCGAGGAGCCTGCTTCCCCCTCTCTCTCTTCCTGCCTCTCTGCCTACTTGTGATATCTCTCCCTCTCTCTCTCTCTGATAAATAAATAAAATCTTTGAAAAAAAAAAAAAAAGATGGAGATCATAAAAATTATAGCAATGCAAGGGAAAACATTCATAGCATAATGTTAAATTACAAAGCAGAACACAAAATATTATTTATATCTCAATTATAATTATGGAAAAATGATAAATACACAGGAAAAAAAACACAAAAATATAAAGAGAGATGAAAAGCTGGCAATAGAATTATGGGTGAAATTTCACCTTTACTGCTGTAATGCTCTTGTTTTGTGCAAGAATAACTTTTTCAATAATTTCACACTTCTGGGGCACCTGGGTGGCTCAGTTGAAGCAGCTATATTTGGCTCAGGTCATGATCCCAGTATCCTAGGATCAAGTCCCACACTGGGCTCCCTGCTCAGTGAGGAGTGTGCTTCTCCCTCTCCCTCTGACCCTCCCCCATGCTCATGCTCTCAGTCGCTCCCTTTCTTCCTGAATAATTTTTTTTTAATTTTTTTAAAAATTAATAATTCAAATTTCTAACTTAAGATGTGCTTTCTCTTTAAACTAACTCAGGTTAAAAAAATAATGAACCAGGGGCACCTGGGTGGCTCAGTGGGTTAAAGCCTCTGCCTTCGGCTCAGGTCATGATCCCAGGGTCCTGGGATCGAGCCCCGCATCGGGCTCTCTGCTCAGTGGAGAGCCTGCTTCCTCCTCTCTCTCTCTCTGCCTGCCTCTCTGCCTACTTCTGTCAAATAAATAAATAAAATCTTTAAAAAAAAAAAAATAATGAACCAAAGGGTGATTATTTGCTTTACGAAAGAATTATTTACATAATAATTTTAAATATGTACCATTCCTGCTATATTTGAAATAAAAAAGCCTAAATCCATACATACAACTTTTGGGAACCACAGCTTGAGAATAAATAAAAATAATTTTTTGATAATGTTTAACTTCATTTTTTTTTAAACAGAGAGTGTGGGGAGGTGGAGAGAAGCAGAATGAGAGGGAAAGAGAAGAGAATCTTAAGCAGACTCCGAGCTGAGTGCGGAGCCTGACTTGCGGCTCAACTCCATGATCCTGAGATCACGACTTGGGCCAAAATCAAGAGTCAGATGTTTAACTGATGAGCTACCCAGATGTCCCTGTTTTCAATTTTTTTAAAAAATATTTTATTTACTTATTTGAGAGAGAACACAAGCAGGAGGAGGGGGAGAGGGAAAAGGACACTCCCCACTGAGCAGGGAGCCAGATGCAGGGCTTGACCCCAAGACCTCAGGATCATGACCTGAGCCAAAGGCAGATACCCAAATGACTAAGCCACCTAGGAGCCCCTTCATTTTTTTTTCTTTAAGGTTATTTATTTATTTGAAAGAGAAAGTGTGTGAGTGAGAGAGAGAGAGAGCATGAGCAGCGTGAGGGGCAGAGGGAGAAACAGATTTCCCACTGAGCAGGGAGCCCAACATGGGCTTGGATCCCAGGTCCCCAGGATCATGACCCGAGCTGAAGGCAGACACTTAAACAACTAAGCCACCCAGGCAACTCTCCTTCAATTGTTTTTAAAATAAAATCTTCCTAACAAATCAATCTCTAAGCTGAATTGGCTCTTCTATATAAGCTTTGCCTTGTGAATGAATACTCATACTACTAATACAACCTCAGACCAAACAAAATTATTTCAAAACAAATTTTAAAAATTATTTTTTTCTATTTCAGCAGAACTGAAATGCTAAAGATAGTCTTGTTTTTATATATATATTTTAAATACTTTATTTTATTTATTTGACAGACAGAATGAGAGAGAGGGAACACAAGTAGGGGGAGTGGGAGAAGGGAAAGCAGGCTTCCTGACGAGCAGGGAGCCCAACACAGGGATCGATCCCAGACCCTGGGATCATGACCTGAGCTGAAGGCAGATGCTTAACAACTGAGCCACCCAGGCACCCCAGTCTTGTTTTTATACTATCAACATTTTTAGAACACAGATGATTGAAAATATCACATAATCTATAAAATTCATTTACTGAAGTGAATTAACATAAAAAATGTACACAAATTCTTAAATATATATACTTGAAACTGAACAAAATACCATGCAATCCAAGATTTTCTTCCATATCCATCTTGTACTGCCATTTTCTCTTTTAAAAAAAAATGTATCATCTAAATAGATTTTAAAACATGAATAGTACTAGAAAGACCATGATTCTGGTATAAGCATCGTCTCCAATTCACTGTTTAATTTACCTCTATATCTTAATTTCTGACACTACAGTACTTAGCTCCACCTCACAAAAATCACATTATGCTAAATAAGAAACTACACAAGAAAATAAAGATGTTTTTTCTTTATGTATTAAAAAAAAAGATTCTGACTAGTTCAGATTGATAATTTACCCACTTTTCTATTTTCAATAGAAAATAGAAATTCCCATTAACTATGATGTACTGCTTTATTACATGTGTAGAATACCTTGTTTCTACAGAGAAAGGCCAGCAGAGTGCACCACTGTTCCTGTTTACCTCCTCCTCCAATAACAGGGGCTCTTTCATAACCAAGGACATTAACAAATCTTGCTGCTTGTCTTGGAGTATCCAAAAGCCTCCCAGCTCGAAGTGGCTTAATATAGGAACAAACTGGTCTATTTACCCCATTTTCATCCTAGGGGAAGAGGGAAAAAACATTAACTGTAAGGATAGATTAATTATTCCCAATTTTAACACTTTTTCTTAGAATATATTAATGTGGGACAAAATAATTCTGGATACCACTTATTGAGTGCTTACCCTGCATCTAACACTAGACAGCTAAGTGCTACGCATACAATTTCTCTTTTAATCCTCTTAACATCTCTTACTGTTTTCATTTCATAAATGAAGAAACTGAAGCTACAGGTATTATGCAACAGAGCCGGGATTCAAAACCCTCAGCTGTCCCCAAAACTTGTGAGAGTAAGAACTTCAACAATCATGATTCGGCAGTTTCACTCCTGGATATATATCTGAAGCAACTGCAATAAGTATCTCAGAGAGACATCTGCACAACCATGTTCCCTACAGCATTACTCACAACAGTCAAGATATGGAAACAAGTAAAATGTCCTTTAATGGATGAATGAGTACATAAAATGTGGTATTATATACACAATAGAATATTATTTAGCTATAAAACAGGAGATCCTGCCATTTGTGACCTCACGGATTAAATCTGAAGGGTATTATGCCAAGTGAAGTAATTTAGACAAAGACAAATCCTGTATGGTGTTACATGTGGAATCTTTAAAAAAAAAAAAAAAGGCTAATTTCATAGAAATAGAGAAAAGAATGGTGGCTGCCAGGTGTCAGGGAGAGGGAGGAATAGGGAAGATGTAGGTCAGAGGGTACAAATTTTCAGTTATAAGAGTAAGTTCTGAGGATCTAATACACAGCATGGTGACTACTTAATACAGTAAACTTGAAAGTTACGGAGAACAGATCTTAAGCATCCTCACCACCTGAGAAAGAGGTAACTATGTGAGGTGATGGATGTGTTCATTATCTTGATCTTGGTAGTCATTCCACAAAATATACGTATATCAAATCATTATGTTGTACACTTGAAATATATACAATTATATTTGTCAATTACTCCTCAATAAAATTAAGGGGGAAAAAAAAGAACTCCTCTAAAAATAGAATAGGCAGGTAGTTGGGGGATGGAGAGGGGATCTAAGCCAAAGTATTCTTTCATATTTTCAAACAGAACTTAATACTATATATCCAAACAGAATAACTTTTCTGATTTACTGATCCAACAAATTATCAGAGCTCATTTTTAGTTTGTTTCCATTACACTTGGAGATCTACAGGAAACAAGGATTTGTTAACCAAGTGAACTGAAAGCAGACTTTTAAAAATCATTTAAGGAAAACATCTTTCATTTTAAATATAAGATATATCCTAGCATTTGAGCTGAATAATTATAGGGCATACAAAAAAAAAGTCTCTGATGACTGTCCACCGCTGCGCTTTTAGAGTTAATATTACCAAAGCCCACATTTCCCTTAACTTCATTATTACTGAGATGACAAAGTCAAAGGACTACTTTATATTCAAAATTCAAAGATAATTTAACAATCTGTCATAGCAAGGCTCCTCAGAAACAAGGCCTAACTCAGTCAAGAGAAAAATAATTGTTTCGATTTTTAGAACCACTGATGTCTTTCTATACCCCCCCCAAAAAAAACCACCTCTCCACTATAATCCCATACCTTAGTAAGAAAAACAAACCAACTCTATTACTTACATTTAATTATAGCGAGAAAGATCATGAATTTTTGATGTAGAGCAAAGTATTATTACAATCTGAATTGTAACTGTGGTTCTCAACTCTAAAAGGCACTGAATTTTTTTCCCTGCTCTCCCAGCCCACTGTTATCTCCCTGGCTCAAACACATCCAAGGTGGTCTCTTACTCTCCATCTCCCCCAGGCTATCTTGGGAGTCAGCAATAGATATAGAACAAAGGGATCAGCTAGGAAAAAGCTCAAACAGAATGAAGAACCAAAGACAATTAAGGAACAGAGATAGGAAGAGAGGAAATTTAAGTAAAGGGTGTTTCAAGGCACTCATTTTGAAAACAGAAAATCATGATTCTGATTTTGGAGGGAAGTAGAAAATTATTTGGATTTCTTTATATTAACTCAGTATTAATTGTTAATCTATTATAATTTGAGAATATTAAATCTTAAAATCAAAATCTGAACATTAAAAGGATAGCCTCAATCCTCAAGTGATTGACAGCATTTTCTTAAAACTTAATAGCCTTAAAGATCAATTTCTGTAACTTATTTTAAAATTTCTTACATTAGAAAATTTAAAAGCTATCATTAAGTGAATTACTATTGTACTATAGGAAAATAAGCAAGGGAGGAAGAAAAAGTACAACAGATTATTAGGTATAACAACTGAGGATTCTATAGATGTTTGGTTAGGATAAAGGTAATTAACTGAGTTCCTGAGTGGGGCATTTAGTCCTATTCTTACCACTCCACTAACAGAGAGGAAAGGAATGAGGAAAGTGGATGTATTTGCGCTAAATCAATCATCAGTAGTAGCATCTTAGAATATAAGATACATTGGATGTTTCATTACAGCAATATTTCTCATATTATCTATAATATATCCCCATAAATGAAATGTCTTGAAAATTTCAGTAATTTCAGTATCTTAGCTTCTAAACCTGCACTGTCCATTAAGGACACCACTAATCCTATGTGGCCTTTTACATTTTAATTAAAATTAAATAAAATTTAAAATTCAGTTCTTTATTGCCACATTTTACATGTTTAATAGCTCAATGGCTATCATACTGGACAGCACAGAGAACATTTCCATCACTGCAGAAAGATAGTGCTACTGTAAACTATTTTCTCTTATGCCTAGAAGCACTGGAAATTCATTTTCAGACCATGTATAATAATTTTTTGGCTTAAAACTACAATTTTTGTGGGACGCCTGGGTGGCCCAGTGGGTTAAGCCTCTGCCTTCAGCTCAAGTCATGATCTCAGGGTCCTGGGATCGATTCCCACATTGGGCTCCCTGTTTCCTCTCTGCCTGCCTGCCTCTCTGCCTACTTGTGATCACTCGCTCTCTTGTCAAATAAATAAATAAAATCTTAAAAAAAAAAAAAAGATACATCTTTAAAAAAAAAACAAACTACAGTTTGTGATTCGGTTGACTGCCTTAAATAAATGTTATTGTTCCTTAACCTTGTATCTAGTCAAATATAGAACGCAGCAGCGAAAGACCCTTCCAGGAAACTGAAATAAGATAAACATTTACTCTCTATATATGTCCAGACGTGGTCCAGTCAAACCTACAACTTAAAGAAGTCTCCACGACTAAGTTGCTGTTCGATATTGGGAAAAATTCTTTTCTCTTTTACACTGTTTATTTTTTATAAAAAGTGGCAATGCCTGGCCAATTGACAATCTCATATGGTTACCATGAGACTAAGTGACCTTATGTGGTTCAAATCTTACAACGAATTTTAAGAGATGGGAACTTCAGTAATTATTTCCTTAAAAAAATCCCCATTCCCTGATTTGTGTGTACTGAATATCTCACCCTTTTCCTCCTCTTTCATTTACCATTTCTCTGATCCACTCCCTCACTCACCCATTCCTCTCTGGTCCCAGATTCCACATGGTAATACATAAAACAGACAGCAGGGAGCCAGTTATATTTTGACTGGTTTCTCTTTTCTCCATTCTAACATTCATTAATACCTTGTCTGCCCAGTCAAATAATGCATAGACAATGCTACTGGAAAGTGAGAAGCTGTTTTCCTCACTTCCACTAGTCAACTAGGCTCTCCCACTTCTAAGCTCCTCATCTAGAAACTCAACTACTCTTAGCCCATCCTACTAAGTAGGGTAAAACTAGATGAATGCACAGGATCTGAGACACATTATTCAAAATACCACCACACTATAACTCTTATAAAAGCATCTATGTAAGGCTGAATAAATATAAAATACAGATCTGATTATATATTTTATTCTGATTTGTTAATGAGAGAAAATAGGCTTAGGATACAGGAAAAATAGAAATAGATACATAGAACTAAAATGCTGCAGTTAAATATTACTATCACCGGCTTAGAGATTTTGGATATACAGAATTATTACATGGAATAATGTCTTTAAGAAAATAGCCTAACACTCGGGTCATGATCCCAGGGTCCTGGGATCAAGCCCCGCATGGGGCTCTCTGCTCGGCGGGGAGCCTACTTCCTCCTCTTTCTCTCTCTGCCTGCCTCTCCGCCAACTTGTGATCTCTCTCTGACAAATAAATAAATACAATCTTAAAAAAAAAAAAAAAAAAAGAAAAGAAAGGAAAATAGCCCAACAATGTGTATATATATATCTAAACATCTATGCCCAGAGACCCTATTCTGCACATGAAAGCTGAATTTACATTATCAACTGCAAAGTATCCTAGTATTTAATCATTTAGTATGAAATATCATACTCCAAGTTAAACAAAATTCATCTATTTTAAATCAAATATATTCAGAAAGGGTTTTAAAAAAATTGAAAATGAAAAGCAAAATAAAACAAAGATATGTAAGTCACTTACTCAGTGAAAGTATTACAAAATCATATTTGATTTTTACAAATAAAGTTTCATTTGTCTGGAAAAAAACCTTTTACAAATTCATGGTAAATGAAATTTACATATACAACAATAAATCTCAAATACAGGTGTGAACCTTCTTTACCTGTGCAAAAATCTTAACCAGCCGTGAGTTGTGCGAGGGTCGAATTTGCAAATATTCTCTCCACCATTGCTTTGCATATACAAGAAATAATCGCTCTTTCTCTGCAGTTTTCTGACGTTCCAAAGCAAGCTTGAAATTTAAAAAAACATTTTCTTCAACTTCTATTTTTTTCTTAAAAATATAACAATTCTACATACTTCTCTCCATCTCTACCACCACCCTAACATAAGCTACCATCTCCACCATCTGTAAGAGCCTCCTGACTGACTTCCCTCTGTCTACACCACCCCATAATCTCATCTCCATATAATGGTTAGTGATCTTTTCTCCCAAGACAAACATTTTCCAATAAATCACACCCTCATTCTCTTGCTTAAAACTAGTAAGTGATAATTTCCTAAAAAGAAAGTACTCTCTATGATCAACAGGTAAATATACTACTATGAAAACAAATGCACAAAGAAGAGAAATTCAGGATTATTTACCTGTGTGTTCACTACTTCTTGAGATAATGTTTGATTGAGTGGTGGGTACATCTCAAGTTTTATATTTAAAATTCCCACAGAAACTTTTGATTCTGTGCCTATGAATATAAATAAATATTTAGAACTTCAGAGGTTTCCAAACTATGTATATTTAGTCAACCAAAGTCTACCTAAAATAGAGTTTTGTGATTTACCACTTACATGAAATATAGATAATATTCGACATCATGTTTACTCTTCATATTAAAAATGAACCAAATCAAATTAGTTTGTATTTTGCATAAAGACCTATATTCTGAGTTTGCTTATCACTCCTTAAGGGGCTATTTGGGTCTACAGGGTTTGGTATTCTTAATTTTTATCTTCATTTAACGTATGCCAACCAGATTTACATTAAAAACAAAGTAAAGCAACTGTTAACATCTCATTCTCAGAAAATATTTATACTTTGTCACATATTGTAATTCCTATGTATCCCTTCCTATATATATTTTTTAAACCCCTTCCCATTTTTCACATCACATGTGAGTACAAACTTTTTTTTTTTTTAAAGATTATTTTTGGCAGAGAGAGAGAGAGAGAGAGAGAGAGACAGCCAGAGAGAGCACAAGCAGGGAGGAATGGCAGGTAGAGGGAGAAGCAAGCTCCCCACTGAGCAGGGAGCCCAATGTGGGACTCAATCCCAGTATCCTGGGATCATGACCTGAGCTGAAGGCAGATGCTTAACTGACTAGCCACCCAGGTGTCCCATGAGTACAAATTTTCAATCCATTCCTGGATTTAAAGAACTAGAAAATAAATACACTTTTTACCAGAACTATTAACTATTTCTCTGGTGAATCAGAATATACTTATTTCTTGGGTCACTAGTATGATTATCATGTTAGGCCTGTATCAGAAGACAAATAATGGGTATCTTTTGAAAATAAGTATCCCACATAAAACTTTATCCTCCTATTTTCTATTTAAGGAAAAACACACTTATCAGAATCTAAAGTACTAAAGCTGTACTGTCCACTGGCCAGGTTAGACTCTGTGACTGAGTTTCAATAGCAAAGTAATTCCTTTACATGTTATGCATAAAATATTGGTAGGCCTTATTTTATTAGCAAATATCTTTTATACATCAGATAGTACGCAAGAGTCCAAGGAGATAATAGTAAGATAGGCACCATCTCAGTCCTCAAAAAGATGGGATTCATAGATCCCATCAATGAGCAAGTTAGTCTCTCTCTGAGTCCCACATTCCCACCTGTTAAAGGCTGGAAGACTATCATCAACCCCATAACCTGTAAGAGCCACTGTTGCAGGGAGACACTGTTGCAGGAAGACAGGCTGGAAGAATATCATCAACCCCATAACCTGTAAGAGCCACTGTTGCAGGAAGACACTGGTACTAATGGGGATGCACTGTACACTAGAGTGTGCTGGAGTAGAGGGCTTTTACATATGCATGTGTGTGAAAAATCTTAATTTTCTTTACAGTCTTATATACAATCAAATAAATTTGAAAAAAGCAAGCAGGCCAGCCCCATAAAGTTTTTCTTCCTTAAGACAAGGTAAGATAGACTGTGAAGTTCTATACTCATAACATGCTTCATGACATTTCCCAAGACTACAATACTAGAATCCAATTGCAATTCTAACGGAATTCTATTTTTTAAAGTATTTTTTAAAAAGATTTTATTTATTAGGGATACGGTGGTTGGGTTATGGACATTGGGGAGGGTATGTGCTATGAAATGTGTTGTGAAATGTGTAAGTGCTGTGAAATGTGTAAGCCTGACGATTCACGGACCTGTACTCCTGGGGCAAATAATACATTATATGTTAATAAAAATAATTTTTAAAAGATTTATTTATTTTAGAGAGAGAGAGGGAGAACACACACAAGCACAGAAGGGAAGGGCAAAGGGAGAGTGAGTTTTAAGCAGACTCCCTGCTGAGCACAGAGCCTGATGCGGGACTTGGATCTCATGACTGTGAGATCAATACCTGAGAGGAAACCAAGAGGTGGGCACTTAACCAACTATGCCACCCAGGGATCCCCTAATGAAATTCTTTTTACATGTTTCCTTCTTGGTTTATAAAGGTATTCAGAAAACATATAACGTATCAAAGAACAAGCTGTGGCTATAAAAAAGGAACAGTGATTAATCATCATACCTACACCCATAAGTTCCACAGTGAGACTGGTTATTCCATTTTCTGAGCCCAAAACTGATCGCCATTCGAGAAAATAGGATGCTACCAAAGTAGTCTCACCAAATATGTCTGTTTTGATTAGCACCATATGAACTGGATCACTTATTGATAACATTGTTGTTGAGTCAGCCATTCTAGTTCCATCACCTGGCAACATAAACCAAAAAAATGCACATTACATATTCTGTTAGGATAACATAGAAGACTACTTTTATTACAAAGGATACTAATAATAAACTTATATTAAACCAAGAAAAATTATTTGGTTATGCCTCAGAAAGCATGCAACAGATTACTTTATAAAAAAATATAATCCTAGGGTGCCTGGGTGGCTCTGCTAGTTAAGCCTCTCCCCTTGGCTCAGGTCATGATCTCAGGGTCCTGGGATCGAGCCCCTCATCAGATTTCCTGCTCAGCGGGGAATCTGCTTCTCCCTCTGCCCGCCCCTCCCAGCTTGTGCTTGCCCATGCTCTAATTAATTAATTAATCAGTTAATTAATTAACTAAAAACCCAGCCTTTTTCACTGGGGGCAAAAAAAATTTTCATAATGTATTAACCATCTTAGCAATCTAAAATTCTGAAGATATAACTCTGTAACTTTGCTAAGTTTAAAATGTAAAGATTTCTATGTTGAAATAACCTACAAAATACATTTATAGAAATAATGTAAAATAATTATAGGAATCAAGTATACATTAAAGTTATATAAATGAGAGTTACAGATTCCCATCCTAACTTTTATTTTTGAAAGTTATAAATCTATCTATCTTTCATATATAAGAGGGATTATGTCTCATTCTCCATTATAGCCTCAGCACTTTCCTAGCACAGGATAATGCACCTAATGCACCTAACAGGCATTTACTGATCCACTGACTTTAGAGACAGAGAGTGTGCACACACAAGTGGCAGGGAGAGAGGGAGAGAGAATATCAAACAGACTCTGTGTTGAATGCAGAGCCCAATGCGGGGCTCGATCCCACAAAGCTTAGATCATGACCTGAGCCAAAACCAAGAGTCGGATACTTAACCAACTGTGCCACCCAGGGCACTCTGCATAGGCATTTAAATGTTTCCTACTAACGAAGCAACCATTAAAACAGTAAGAAAATAATCTTCAGGGAAAATTAATCAGCAGAAAATAAAGAAGGTGGGTGGAAGTAATTCATATAAAAAAGAGCAGTGGAGAAAATAAAAGCAAAGTAGGAAGATCCATTCATTATAAATCTCTCCTTACAGCAAAAGTTGTTATGGTTGTTCTACAATAAAACCTAACAAAGATTTATTCAGTTAAGTGACAATTTATCATCACTCCTTACCTAAGCTTTCTCGGTGTACTTCAAGTAAAAAGCCATCATGAAAATCTGGTTCACAGGCACATGGAACAGGTTTAGAACGAAAACGTTGGTTTCGAAAATGTAAACATAAAGTAAAGGTTGAACAAACTTGTCCTGGTAAAGGCTCAGGTTCTTGTAGATGTTCCAAGAAAGCTTTTCCACCCAAAACCTGAAGGTAAAGATACCTCCGTGTTGGATCAATATTAGCTGTAAAGTGTAGCAATATATATGAGGAAACTGCCAAATAACTTAAGGAATGTGATCAAGACAATAGGAAATAATAACTTAACAGAAATAAAACCAAAGACTAAATAAAGAAAAAAAAACAAATTTACTCTGTACCAGGACCATTACCATTATACCAGGGAAGAAAACATACATAATATGATATCTTTATCTGAGTTTATATATATCCTGCTACTTTTTCCCAGCTAGAAAGGAGTCAGAACCAAGGCTTAAGAAACTTTTACTTTTTAGTTCCTTATCCAACCCTCCTTTACCTCCACAAACGAACTCAGACAAGTATAAACTCAGCAAGTGTGCTTGTTAGGTAACTAGCATTAAAAAAAGCAAGGCTGTATAATGTTTGTAAAATAAATTATTAAAACAGGAGAAACAGATGATGCTGTTTTTGCTTCCATTCTATGATACATTAAATCTTCTGACATACATACTTCACGCAAAATAGAATCTAAGTTTTTTTTTTGTAATTAACCACAAAAATGTTAAGTATAAGAAGTAATGTTTTCTATCCAATACCAAACACTACAGCACATCAATATGTAATACTGTGCAAAACAAAATCAATGTTAAAAAGAAATATACATACTTTTTTTTAACAACGTTGATTGTCTATCAGTAAAACAAACAGGTTGCTTTGGAGAGGAAGGTAGTTCTTGATCAACACTGTCCTAGAAAGGCAGGAAAAAATTGAAAACAAATTAGAAAACAAAAATTATTGCTAAGCAAGGAAATGTCAACAATGGGACTAAGAAGTAAATAAAAGTAGATAGGATAAAGCCCCCTCAAGGAAACTCTTATTTTCTCAGCATAATTAAAATAATGAAAAGCCTGCAAAAAAAAGATGATGTGACTGGTCACACCTAAAACCTAATAAGGAATTTAACTGTCTTCAATGTCCACAGAAAACAAATCCTTAACATCTTAAACAAGGTTAAACTTTTTCTAAGCCTAGTATGACATTTGGCTTATGATTCTACTATGAACTGATTCTAATAAGGGAATGACATTCACACAGCAGAAGCTGTCATTGGGTCAATTTTTAAACAAATGGGTTTACAAACCTCAAAAACCAAAAAAGGAGGCTGTATTAAAATACTTATTCCCCAGTGTATTACATAGTCCATCCAATTTTTACATTATATTACCCAGGCATTATTAGGTCACAGTTTCTCATTATTGCCTCATTTTCAAAAGAAGGCCTACTTACTAATTTGTGCACTGAGGCTATCATCCCACTACTGACCTATTTGTATAAAGAGATTTGAAGGTTCTTACACAATTATTTTCTTAAAGAAATGGGTAATTTGTTAATCAGAGAGAATGGACTTCCAAAAGAATGTGTTTATTTTAAAAATATGCCTAATCTAGAAAAAAAAATTATAGAATACTAGTGAAAAAGAACTAGGTTATGGTGAACTAATTTAACTGAAATATGTACACTTAAAATTATAGACCTAGAGAATAACAACAGAAAATTCTGTCATTTTAGAGAGAAAAATATAATATGTAACTCCGATCTCTTTGAGAAATAATCCTACTTGCTACAGTCAAGGGTAGAGTTAGCTTATCCTTGAAGTAAGGATATTACTAAACAAAAAAGGTCTTGTTTTAAAGTGATTTGACTAAAAAGAAGCCCCAAATATGGACCCTATAAGCAGCATTAAGCATGGGAACAAACTCTCAAAATTTTTCCCTTAAAAGATTACTCACAGTAACAAAATTAAGTTCTTTCATCACATCATCAATGATTCCCCGACGTCTAAGGGCTTTGATCAAATCTTCTGTTGATAACTGTTGTTGATCTGGTGCCAATTCTTCCCTTATTGTCTCAGCGAGGATTTCCCTTATTCTGCCATGGACATCCATCTATGTGGAAAACTCGCATTACAACTTACATTCATGAAGCCATTAAACATTGCCAATTAACTAATTTCTTTCTAAAACACCCAAGGAAAAAAAATAATGGGAAGGTGGATAGACAATATTCAGGAAGGTTTCTCAAGCTAATAGTAAACGTAACATTGTCACTAGAAGTCAATGAGAATAAAGGCAAGACTTTTTAAAAGAAAAAAAATTTTAGGATGAATTTTTTTTTTGGGTACAAATTCTAGAAATAATTTCTGCTGGTTATCTACGTACTACCTTTGTTACCCTTTCCCCACAAATAATACTCAACAAAAAAAGACCTTTTTGAAAGAGGGTAGTATGATCAGGAGAACACAGACTTGGAGCAGGAAATCAGAGTATGAATTTCAGCCTTGAACTTATTAGAGGTGACACTGAGTCAACTTTTTTATCCTTTATGAATCTGGAAAAAGTAGTGCCCTACCCAGATTACTGTGAGGCTTAGGTAAAAGATGCTAAACACTCACCACAAAGCCTTACATACAGATGCACAATGAACGGTAGCTTTTATTACTTCAGCTTACTGCATTCAGCCAAGCACCTGAACAATGTCCTTGAACTCCCCATTATCACAAACACTTTCATTACAAGACCTTTAGTAACCTCCCTTTCGTGACTTCTTTAAGAACTGCTGATTTGTTTGAACTTCAAAGACACAAGTTTCACCCTTAAAGTAATTCTAATTCCTGACTTCTGAATATCCACCTGCTCCAAACACAACTTGTACTGGATCGGATACCGCAGGATGAACGCTTCAGCGGCACAGCTGTGCTCGCTCTCTGCCGCGTTTCGTCACCTCAAACTCTCACCAGCCCCTGTCGGCATTGTTCTCTTTCACCGAGGCTAGAAAGCAGCCCCGGGCTGCGGCCCCGGAGCCCGCCCAGCCCGCGCTCTGTGCCCCAGAGCCTGCGCTCGCGTCCCCCGCAAACATGCGCCGCCGTCCACCGGATCTCGGGACGCCAGGCTGGGCGCTCAGGACCAAAGGCAGCCAGAGAGGCCCCCGGTGGCCTGGCGCCCGCGGCTCTCACCTTGCTCAGCTGCTGGTGGATGAGCTGCTTCAGCTCCGAGGCTTTCTCCGGCGGCAGCGACATCTTTGGGGCCGGCGCCTCACCGCGCTTCTCCCCGCTTCGGGCGCGCCCCGGCCAGCCCCGGAATGCCAGTCGCCGCTGAGGAGAGCCGGCGCGCCTGCTTGGCCTCACGCAGCTCCCGGGGGGGGGGGGGGGGGGCGCCCCCCCGGGGCCCGGGGGGGGGGGGGGGGGGGGGGGGGGGCGCGACGCCGCGTCAGGACCGGGGCTGGGCCGGAGCCGAGGCAGCGGCGGCGCTCAACTGTTGCTTTCAAACGGCGCGGACTACCAGGGCTCGGGCTGTCCCCCTTCCTGCCTGATCGCCTCCGCCTGCCGCTTCCTTCCCTGGGGGTCCGCATCCCGCGAGCTCAGCGCTCCCCACAGTCCTGCCCTGCCAGCGTCTCCGCAGGCACTGCCCGCCCCCATCTTTCCCCCCCGTCGCGGGCCCTTTGCGCCCTGCGGACCGGCAGAGATCTGGACGGACCCATTAGGACCCCACGCCGAGCGCCTCGACGGACCCCGCCCCGCCCCGCCCCCGTCGCTAGGGGCTCTGGGGACTCCCATGCACCTGCGCTGCGCGGCGTTAGCGGTTTTGCCTGTGCCGGACCTTCGTTTCTGCCAGCGCCGAGCTCACCGGGTTCTCCCACATCTGTGCGACCATGTTCGTTCCCTGCGGGGAATCGGTCCCCGACCTCGCGGGCTACACCTTCCTAATGGTGAGTCCCCGCTTTCACGAGCACCGCGTGCCGGGCTTGCTGTGCTTCCTCTCGAGAGGTTTCTGAGGCGGCTCGCCACCGCGAGTCAAGGTGTTTCACCGGCCCTGGGACAGAGGACGATCCTTGCTTCTGTCTCAGGTTTTCAGCGTGCACGGAAGACAGGTGGTCGCTGGATACGGCGCTATCACCAGATGTTTCTGAGACTAGGGCTTGTAGTCTTCGTTGACTGTAAAACGTAATGTGTTTGGTAGTTTCAGGTAACGTGCATAGCTACGGGCCATTTCTTTTCATTATATCCTAGAAAATCTTTCTTCAGCTAGTAGCAGAGCCAGTCGTAAGCTTGTTAACACTTGGTCATTAACTAGGAAACTACAGGTAAGGAAATAAAAGTCATCTTCGTCAGCAGCTACCATAACAGTTTTACTGCTCCTAAAATTGCCCATATTCAGTCACTGTTTCAATAAAGATTGTGTAATGTAAAAATATTAAATAAGACTAGGTCCTTGTCCTCAGGAGGTGTGCAGTCTAGTTGGAAACACACGTAAACCAATAAGGGCAATACATGCTAGGATAGTACTTTGAAAAGGGTACAGAAGAACCCTAGGACTTATTGGGGGGGGGGACACAAGGACCTGTTAAAAGTTTTATTTGTGGGATCCGGGGGCGGGGCAAGAGGGGGAACCTCATAGACACAGAGAACAAATTGATGGTTGCCAGAGGTGGGTGAGGATGAGGGCTGCTTGAAATGAAATAAAGACAGGGAAAAGGTACAAATCCCCAGTTATAAATAAGTCTTGGGTATGTATTGTAGGGCGTGGTGTCTATAATAAACAATACTGTATTGTGTGTATTTGAACCTTGCTAAGAGAGTAGATCTTAAAAGTTCTCATTACAAGAAAAATTTGTAACTGGTTGATTAATGTTAAGTAAAACTATTGTGGTAATCTTTTCATAATAATACATGTATCAAATTTTGTTATATACCTAAGACTGATAAAAATGTTAATGTCAATCATATCTCGGTTTTTTTAAGTGATGGTAATCACTTTTGGGCAATTTTCACCTTAATGGTACATACAAGAAATATGAATGAATGTTAAAATTAGTGTATGATAATGTACTGAAGAGGGAAATTTTATGTAATTTCAAAGTATCTCCCTGAAAAATATTTATTTATCACAAAAGGGAAAGGTATCCTTGCAGGAGATGAAACATGTAAGTACCATATATTCCCATGTTTACTTTGGGGTAGAGACTTGACATCAGAATGAGGCAAAATTGAGTCCCTGATGTCAGGAAGTTATCTTAGGACAAGGAGAAGGGGGTGTGGGTGTGCTCTGAGAACTGGTACAACCTGGATGGGGTCTTAGGCTCGTTCTCTCAGGTAAGGATTTCAGGGTCTTGCTTGTTCATAGGTTGCAACCATATCAGTGGACCTTGAGTCCAGACTTCTGCAAGACTGCTAGTAAGATACCTGGCAAAAGAGAAAGATTCGTAGGGAAAGTAATGTTGAAAGGATTATTGGTGGTAACCTTGACAGCAGTAGAGCGGTGAAGGAAGGGAAGCCATATTGGAGTAGTTTGAATAAGTGGAAGAAGGGATGGAGACTTGTATATGTACGTATTTGTTGATCAATTCAGAAATAAAGTTCCTGGTTGCCTGGGTGTCTCAGTTGGTTAAGCAACTGCCTTCAGCTCAGGTTATGATCCCAGAGTCCTGGGATCGAGTCCCACATCGGGCTCACAGCTCCGCGGGGAGTCTGCTTCTCCCTCTGACCTTCTCCTCTCTCGTGCTCTCGCTCTCTCTTACTCTGTCTCTCTCAGATAAATAAATGAAATCTTAAAAAGAAAGAAAGTTCCTACTTATGTTTTAGTGGGCAGCTGAGGAATTTTGAGTTTGAAGAGACACCAAGAAGTGAGGTGGTAGCTAAGGGAATATGTGGGATCAAGGGAGGGTATTTTAGAAGGAAAGATTACAACATGTGTATATGCTGATGGGAAGAATCCGATAGTGAAGAAAATGTGGATGATGCAGGAGAGTGAGGGTCTAACTAAAGTAGCAAAATCCTTGAGAAGAGGAAAGGGGATTACAAGAGAAAACCAGGAGATTAATAATGAGAACAATGAGAAGTGGGAGTCCACCCTGAGGGACCCAGAAAAATAAGATGAAGGGGAAAAAAGCAATTGCTAGAAGAATGCAAAAGAAGAGCTACATTAAAGAGATACTTTGGAAATAGAATCAATGAAAATCAGATGAGTATTAGATGTGGTTGGTAAGAGAAAAGGAAGAAGTTTCTTGAGTTAGGTAATTAAATGAGTAATTGTTGCTCTTTTCAAAAATACAAAATGTGAGGACAAGTTTAGGCAGAAGTTTAGTTTTGTACATGTTGAATATGCATTGCCTATGAGATAACCATGTGGAGATACCCATTAGGATCTGAAGTTTGGATAAATATTCTGGGCTATCGATAGAGATTTGACAGTTGGACTCTTTGAAGTCATGAGGATAAATATGCATGTGTGTTTAATGTGAATAGAAGCTGACCCCAACCTTTAGGTACTAACAAAGCAGATGGAAAGATGACCCAAGAGGACTTTACATTTGCCTTCCCACTGCTTGAAGTGTTCTTTTCCCTGGTCTTTGTGTGGCTGTCTTCCTTACGTCTTTCAGGTCCATAATTAACTGGTCAGCTAAAGTAATTCTTTTCTTGATCACCCTATTTAAAATTGCAACCAACCACATACATACAGACACTCTCACTTACTTTTTCTCCATAGCAGTTACCACTGTATATAGACATACCTCAGAAATATCAGGGGTTTGGTTTCAAACCACAGCAGTACAGTGGAATACCGCAATAAAGCAAGTCTAATGAATTTTTTGGTTTCCCAGTACATGTGAAAATTATCTTTATACTGTAGTCTTAAGTTTGCAATAGCATTCTGTCTAAAAAGACAATGTGCATACCTTAATTTTAAGATACTTTATTGCTGGGGCACCTGGGTGGCTCAGTGGGTTAAGCCTCTGCCTTTGGCTCAGGTCATGATCTCAGGGTCCTGGGATCGAGCCCCGCATTGGGCTCTCTGCTCAGCGGGGAGCCTGCTTCCCTTTCTCTCTCTGCCTGCCTCTCTGCCTACTTGTGATCTCTGTCTGTCAAATAAATTAAAAAAAAAAAAAAAAAGATACTTTATTGCTACAGAATGCTGACCATTATCTGAGCTTTCAGTGAGTCACAGTCAATGATTGCAGATCAAATAATAACAAATATAATAGTGAAAAAGTTTGAAGTGTTGAGAGATTTACTAAAATGTAACACACAAAGTGAGCAAATGCTGTTGGGAAAATGGTGCTAATAGACTTCCTTGAACGAGGGGTGCCACAAACCTCCAATTTGTAAAAAACACATTATCTATGATGTTCAATAAAGTGAAGCCTGCCTCTGTTTCACTATTTTATTACATTAAACCACTCCGTCACTTGAATGGAAGCTCTACGAAGGCAGGAACTTTTGTCAGTTTGTCTTACTGCGTTCCTAGTGCCTAGAGCAATGATAGACATGTGGTAAGTGTTCCACAAATGTTAGATCAGTAGTCTCAAAAGTAGAGGAAGCCCCGCTGACACCTCAGTGGCAGCTAATGAGTCTCTACACAGCTACAACGTACCTGAGCATAACCATCCAAAGGCAGTCCTGTGATTAGTGTCTTCTGTCTAAACTTTTAAAAATGCTGGTAATTCGATGACTTAACGGACATTTTTGTGTTTTTATTATTTCAGCCAGCAGTGTCTGTTGGAAATGTTGGCCAGCTTGCAATGGATTTGATTATTTCTACACTAAATATGTGTAAGATCGGTTACTTCTATACCGATTGTCTTGTGCCGATGGTTGGAAACAATCCATATGCAACTGCAGAAGAAAATTCAACAGAACTCAGTATAAATGCTGAAAGTATGTAAGACTTAAGCCTGTTTTACTCTGTTCTAAGGGAGAGTGGTTTTAAATTAGAGATGGATTCTACAGATACTGTTTTATAGCAAACGTGTACTCAGTGCCAGCTTTGTGTAGGATTTATGACCTGGTCACATCCTCTTCTCTCACATCTGGTTCTTAGCCTTTTTGAAATAGCAACTCCTATGATGACCGTACGTCTTTAACTAGAATTTGAGGTTGTTGGGGTTTTTTTTTTTTTTTAGCATTTTTTTTCCTCCTTTTATCCTCAGTTTTAATTTCTGTCTTTCTGGCAAGTATAAGCAACACTAATACCAAGGAAAGGGGAAAAGAATTCCACCAGATTCAGTTTATATGTTTAACATGCATTACCTTACTTTAGCCTCGTAGTCATCCTTTCATATTTTTATAGAATCCATAATAATGTAATATCA